AAATGTATTTTGTTGTTGTTGTTATGTTGTTATGTGCCGTTGAGTCAGCCCTGACTCATAGCGACCCCTCCTTGGGTTTCCGAGGCAGTATCACTGCGGAAGTAGGATTGCCCAACCTTCCTTCCAAGGAGTGGCTGGTGGGTTTGAACCGCCAGCCTTCTGGTTAGCAGTCAAGCTTTAGCCACTATGCTACCAGAGCTCCTTGTATTTTAGGTGTATAAATAAATAAACAAACTCACTGCCTTTGAGTTGGTTCCGACCCCTCCTTGGGTTTCTGAGGCGGTATAACTAAGGAAGTAGATTGCCCAGTCTTCCTTCTGAGGCGTGGCTGGTGGGTTTGAACTGCCAACCTTGTGATTAGCAGTCAAATGCCTTAGGCATTAATTGTTTGGAAATAAGTGAATAAACCTATAACTAAAGAGTGTTGTTGCTGTTGTGTGCCATTGAGTTAATTTCAACTCAGTGACATTAGAAAGCACAAGAAAGGATATTTCTTCTCTTCCTTTTGCTTATATAGAATTTAAGTAGTTTTTTACTAACAGAGTGCAAATAATTTGGTAAACACATTGATAATATAATTGCAAGTGCATTCCTTTCAATATCTAAGGGAAAATCAGGTTTAATTAATAATGCATATCCAAAACTAAATTTATTAATTATGCTTCACTCTTATCTGCCCTTTTGTCTCTCTTTTTCCAGAATTTACTAACAACATTTCATAGGAATATTCCATAATTCAGCTTCTTATGAATTGTGCCTGCCTTTATGACTCAATGGCAGTGGGTTTGGTTTATTGGTTTACTCACAATTAGTAACAGAAAACAATGTTTTACTATGCTACCAGAAAGCTCTTTTATTGTTAAAATATGGTTAGGCAGATGAGACGTTTATGGAAGTGGCTATTTTCCTGGGGAGGTCTTTGTTAGTTCATAAACCATGTGGTATTTTTAAATAGCACACTAGATGGCCCAATCAATAAGCCCTGAAGTATTAACTGAAGTCTTTTCCCTGGTTTCCCCCAGTTGCCATCATGGAGTGATGTCCATTTGCTACTTCATCAGAGAGGCAACAGTCCAAACACAATTTGCCTATTGGAGTTTTGAGTCTAAAATAAAAATGAATGTATAATCACAGAACACTTTTACTTTCTTTGTAGTATTTATATTATATTTTCTTTCCATAAGTCTTCTGTTTATCCTTGATTATTAATCTGAAGTATCATGGAAATTTCATTGCTTTTTCCTCAGATAATCAATCTTTCATTTATTTAATTTTTACGTTACTTTTCTTTAAAAAAATAAAATGTTGCTGGGATATTATGTTGGAGATTTTTTAAAAAATTTTCTACACTTGATTATGTAGACAGATATATAGAATTTATAATTAAATTATATTTACATACATGCATATATATATATTTGCAGCCATGTAATCACAGGATAGGTTAGGAAACACTTATAAAAAATAGAAATATAAAATAATTTTGAGGACAAAATTACAGTCTCACAGTCTCCTAATCTCCCTGTCGCTGATAAATGCTAACTGGCTATCATCAACAGTTAACATTACACAATCTTCCTTGAGACACAGAAAAAATTCCACAATATAAAAGTATTTTGGGAATCAATACATTACTTTCTTTTTGAGTTTGGATCATGCTCATCAAGCCAATAGAACCAAAATATATGCCATGAATACAATTAATTAAGATAAGATTTCACTAACATGAATAGAGATGAAATGCATAGCCCTGAATCTCAGCGTGCATATTATCCATCTTTATCTACGTTGAGCACTATGCAGAATGGTTGATGCTTTTTAATCTGGAGCAGATATTTGCAGCATATAGAGCTTCTCAGACAAATAGCTGTAAAATTCATTATTTAAAATGCTCCCTGGTTCTTTATATCCCCTTTATGTTACCTCACTCTTTTTTTTTTCCTTATCTTCAATCTTTCTTAATATACTAAAACACACAGCTAAGTACTTGTGTTTACAAATGCAGAATATATAGAATGATTTTTATTTTAAATGACTCAGCTACAATTCTTGTAAAAATGTATTTACTTACTAAGCTGCTGAGTCATTGAGCTGATATTCAGATGCCCTTTCAAAGCAGGCCTGGATTCCTGGATCTCTCCACAGACGTTTTATTACCTCAGCCAATTTGGGTGTCATGCCGCCATCTTCCAAGGTATTTGCCATGGCACAAAGTTGTAGTTGGTCTTCCTAGCAATATTTGAGAGAGAAGAATAAACATGTATTTGGAATGAAGTATTCTTTTTACAGTATATAGGATTTTAATTTGGTGGTGGTGGTGGTGTTGTTATTTACCATCGAGTTGGACCCAACTAAGAGCTACCCCTCTTTGGGTTTCCAAGGCAGTATCACAACAGAAGTAAATTGTCCCATCTTCCTTCCGAGGATTGCCTGGTAGGTTTGAACCGCCAGCCTTCTGGTTAGCAGTCAAGTGCTTTAGGCACTACGCCATCAGAGTAGTAGGTGTCTAATTCTTCTAGATAATGATTTCTTTTAATCTCATTTCAAAATACTTTATGGGAAATTGATCTAAAGTTCCTTATAATGACCAGCTGATGTCAAGACTAGTTATCCCTTGCCCAAACTAAAAAACGTTACAGAGGGAAGTCAGTATTTTTGGTATATATCACTAAAATCTGAGTTTGATGTCAAAAAGAGTAACAGTGTTTTGGTACATGTATCTTTGAGTTGTTAAAGGGTCAAAATTCTGAGGTAAAGTGGTTATGAATCTGATCTAAACTGACACTATGAATTCTTTGGAGCGTAGCCATAGATTTTATTTATTTTTTCTTAAGGAAAAAATATAAGTGAAAATTAAAACAAAATGGAAAACAAAACTTTATATTCTGAAATGGTATTCAAACAGTATTAATATACTTCACCACCAGCATCTTATTATTATCAAATAAACAAGCAATGACAAACAACTTGATTCACACATTAAGGGTTTTTACTTATAGGTGTTGCTGATTTCATTCTGCAAATCAGTAGGGTCAGGAAAGGAGAAAAAGCAAGCATTGTGTAAGTCCCATTGGTACGGTCGTTGGAGGTGACACGAGAGGAAGAAAATAGTTTATTGAGTAAACACTGGAGTCTAAGGTTTATCTGAATAATAATCAATACACTTTTTATGATAAAACCATTTTTTAAAGATTAAGAACTTGCGATTTAGAGTAATTAAATTACTGTCCTTCATAATGGTCATAATGAAGAAGTCTGATTCAAATTCCAGACTCTGAAGTTCATACTCTTCTTAGTTCATATTAATATTATAACAATTTACAAGACACTTAGCACATGTATTATCTCAGAAGTAGGAGTTGGGATCCCTGAGCTTATGATTGTTATTCTGAGGGGGTAGAAGGGGGGCATTACATTTGTAGCCAGCAGGTCAGAAGTGATGGTGTTATGTGGACTTGCGGCTGGTACCTGAAGTCTTGGGCCTATGCGGCAGTCTGAAGGAAAATGTCCTTTTAACTTGTGAGATCTGATCTAGCTCTGGGTGGCTAAAATAAGAGGAAGTCTTGCATGGTGTCACAGAAGTGAAAAAGTAAGGATTTGATTTATGACTCATCTTCACAGCAGCCCCTCTGGATTCTGTTCCCACCACTTTTCCAAAACTTCTCTTATTATATCACCAATGATCTCCATTATAACTAAATTTAATAAAATATCTTCAGCCTTCTTCTTAGGATCTCTGAACTTGTATAACCCTCTCTGGAACAATGCCCTTGAATTCTGTAGCTCTACAGATCCCTTTGTTTCTCCCACTGTTCAGTCTTTCCTGCTAAGTTTCCTATTCCTCTCAAATGAACAGAAAATGTTGAGTCTTTAAGCATCATTTTCTAGCCTCTGTTGTCTTTAATGTCATTCTCTTCTTAATCTAAGCACTGGATCTATTCTATCCCTAGTATAAATTGTAGGCCATAGTGTAATGGTTTGCCAATAACACTTGGATTTTCATCTCTAGTCAAAATATCTCTTCTTAACTTCCAGTGCACATTTGCAGTTACTCAAGGCATATCTCTCTGTGTATGTCCTCCAGAACTTGCAAACTCAATATTTCAAAACTAATGTTTTGTAATTACTTGTTCAACATCAATCTTTCCTTTTCTGAGGAAAAATATTATTTCCATCTTATTTACTGCTCACTCCTTAGTATATCCCCCAGGTCCAGCCACATGTCTGCCACACAAATAATGGTTTAATGAAGAAAAGCTTTTAGAAATGCCTTGGACCTGTGTGTTGTTGTTGTTATTTGCCATCGAGTTGGCCCCGACTCATAGCGACCCCTCCTTGGGTTTCCGAGGCAGTATCATTACGGAAGTAGGAATGCCCAACCTTCCTTCCGGGGAGTGGCTGGTGGGTTTGAACTGCCAGCCTTCTGGTTAGCAGTCAAGTGCCTTAGGCACTATGCTACCAGAGCTCCCTTGGACCTGTGTAGATTTCAATATATAGATTTTAATGAGCTTATATTAAAAATTAATATTGACAAATAATACCTACTGTATACTGAGGGCTTATATTCTGCAATGTTCTGTAATTAAGTGATTTATTCTTCAATTTCCATTTCCTCCTTTAACTGTGATAACACTGTAACACTGTAATTCAATTAAGGAAAACACTAGTATCTTATCAATGAAGAAACCATAATTTAGAGAGATTGAGTAATTTGTCCAAATTTGCACAACCTGTGTAATAAAGCTATTGTAAATTTTCTCTGAGAGATGGGTTCTCTCTTTCAGAGACAATCTGTGTGCTGATGTAAAAATAGTTATGTAAAAATATACAGATATGCATAAATAAACAAATTGAAATCTAGATAGAAAGCTCTAGACCACCCTTAAAATCAAACATAAGTAAAGTATTTAGCAATCAATCTGCTGAGAAAACAATTTAACCCAAGTAGAGACTGTATTAAGGAGCTCTGGTGGCACAGTGCCTAAGGCATTTGACTGCTAACCAGAAGGTTGGCACTTCAAACTCACCAGCCTCTCTGTGGAAAAGACTGGACAATCTAATTCCATAAAGATTTACTGCCTTGGAAACTCCAATGGGGGTTGCTATGAGTGGGGATGGACTCAATGGGAGTGAGGTGGTTTTTTGTTTTTTTTTGGCAATGTACTAAAGAATGTGATTGAAACAGCCATAGTTTGCACTAATTGAAATCAAATTGGGAGCTCTGTAGTACCTGACAATCATACTTAAGGGCATAGGTACTCCTTAAGAAGTCTGTCACAATTGCTTAATGCTACTTAAATTGCTCCATTTACACTATTCAATCTACTGTTATTATTTTTTTTATTTTTATTTTTCACTTTGTAGACTGGCAGCAAAGTTACAGAGCCTGTTATTTTTATTCCACCTGTATACCAATAAGGAGTGCTGGTGGTATAATGCCTAAGGCATTTGACTGCTGACAGGAAGGCTAGCAGTTCAAACACACCAACCCACCAGCCACTCCTCAGAAGAAAGA